AATTAAATTTTATAAATTGGTGATTGTGGTTTTAATTCTTATTTCATTACTTTTATAGCAGGATCCCTACTTCATTTTCAAATTCATAATTTTTTGTAATTTTTTGTTTATTTTTTATGTTATACCTGTATAGAGTATATACTTTACTTGTCGCGTGTCTATCCATAGATATGTAGCGCTATCTGTTGGGTTGAACTGGGTTTGAAAGATATTTAAGTATGTGCATGATATGTTTACCATTTATATATATAAAAAAGAATCTATATATATTTATCGGAATATCAAAAGCGGACACTCACAGACCAGTCAAGTAAGCTGGAGAAATCTTGCAGCGATAGTCAGAGCCGTCTGAGGGCTAGCCCCGCTGACGTGATCAGGTAGGTATGTAGTAGATGAAAAAGTTGCTGTTGTTAGCGACCTTTTTGGCGTATCATTAGTATATATAGTGTCGGACTGGGAGAAAAAGGCCCGGGGAGGAGAATATTTCTGGGGTCCCACCATCCAAAATATATATAAATGGTAAACATATCATGCACGTACTTTAATATCTTTCAAACCCAGTTCAACCCAACAGATAGCGCCACATATCTATGGATAGACACGCGACAGGTAAAGTATATACTCTATACAGGTATAACATAATTTTTTTTTCTTTACAAGTTTGGTATAACACAGTATTACTATTAGATTATACTTGCAGACACCTAATTACGTTTAACGTTCCTGATGTAGGTATAACTGTGAATGAGCTTTATAATTATTCCTGTATATACATGTAGGCTACCTAAAACTAGAATACCGTGTGCTCTAGCCTCTAGGGTCTGTACTGCGTACTGAAATATTTACTAAACACTAGTACACTACTGTTGCCCACAGTCCAGTTAGGACAAATAATTTGTTAAATGTAAAGAAGAAATAGCAAATATCTGTATCACAACACCAGGTGGCACATGCACATTTCGCTCAGTATTAATCAACAACAACAATGAATCCAGGTTGACTTGTCCAAGCATGTTCCTCAGTCTATCTTTCACGACTTTCAACTTTGAAAAAACTCTTTCGCATTTTCCTTGTGCGAAAGGTAAGCAAATATTATTTTTGTGTGATATGTACAAGTTAGAAAAAAGAGCTACAATGCAGATTGTATCTGTGAAGAAGCCGAAAAACACATGGCAGACACTTGTTGCACGAGTCACTAGTACAAGTCACTACTTTCATCGGGCTGGATCAACATCTGTATTGACACCTCAATATCTGTAGGATTTCCTCGCAGCAAAATAGCTTTCAAGTGCTGATATAACGTATAAAGTTCTTCACAAAGCTGGGTTCTGTTCTCGTCTGCCAAATTCGCGAATGCATGCATTCTCTCTTCTGGTGATTCATGGGAAAAAATTTTGTGGGTCAAGATATGTAAAGTCTCTCAGCAGATCTATGTTTGCCCCAACTCGACGCCTAACTAACGAGATTGCTGTGTCCAGAATGACATTATAGACATTCAGCTGAAATCGATTGATGGTAAAACTTGTCGTCTTTCATCTTCTGCTCGTTCTGATGTCGGCTTTTTTTTTCCTTCTCACATTGGTTACAAGTAACTCAGTTTGCATTCTTTCCTCAATGTCTACATCATCCAATAATTCATTGACGGATCTGGAAAAGGTAGTTGTTTCTCTAACGATTTCTTTATATTCATTTTGAATGGAATCTAAATTAGTTGTTGTTTTCTGAATCATTGTTAGAGCTACTAGCATGTTCAAACCATTTGCTTGTAGATACTTCGACACTGGTGTGCACACTTGAAAGATTCGTCAGTATACAACAGCGACCAGTACTGGTGCTGTTGATCTATGTGCTTCATCACATTGCCACTTCAGAAGAGTCTGAACCCAACATACATATAAAGCCAGTACTTTGCGGGACAATTGGATGAGTTTTAAGAATCTACTGGTGCTGTTGATCTATGTGCTTCATCACATTGCCACTTCAGAAGAGTCTGAACCCAACATACATATAAAGCCAGTACTTTGCGGGACAATTGGATGAGTTTTAAGAATCTCGTTCAGGTTGTAAGACTCCAAACAATCCAATTATAACTTCCAATACCTGATCATTACTTGTCCACCTTGTTTCCCCAATTGTTTTTAACATATGAACAACATCCTGGCCATGATCATCTGCAAAAGCTTTCCACACATTTATCCGTTTATAGGAATCTCTCAACAATACTGCTTTTGCTTCTATAAGTCCGTAAACGGTTTTTCATTCTGGACAACAAATTGTTAAGTCTGTCATTAGTAGATTAAAGAGGTGTGCATAAAAATGTGTAAATATAAAATCTGGAGCCTCATTTTTTATTTGAGATCGCAGGTCAGAATATTTTCCAGACATGTTAGCTTCTCCATCATAAGACTTTCTTATAATATCTTTCGGGTACAAACCAAGAGAAAACAGTTCCTCTGTGACAATCTTATATAAACCTTTATCTGTGGATGACGAAGCCTCACACATATTCATCAATCTTTCAGTAACTACTCCAGACTTTACATATCGTAAACACATATCCAACTGATCCACAACATCTTGTGTTGAATCTATTTTAATTATATATTTACGGCATTCAACCACTTCTTTCATTACAGTTTCCTTAATAATTTTACAATAATCCTGATTAGCTTGTTGACGGTTGTTTTAGACAGCAAAGTGATAAGAGATCCTTTACCCTTAGTTTCCTTTTTTCTCTTCTTCATTATTTTACTTTGCTGTATTGAATCTTTCAGGTGACGCCTAAGTAGGGAGTCATACTTACTGATCAATATCACAGGTGCTAAAAAAATTCCGCAATTACTGTCCTCTGAGTCCAAATCATCTGATACCAAACTCCAAGCAGATTCCACCGTTCCTCGGTATGGTATTCCTTGATGAGCAATGAAAAAAGTATATCTATTAGTCTTTCTAGTACCTGTCATCTTTTTTGCTTTTCAGGTTCTGTTTCCTTATTGATAAAGTCTTCTAATGTACACTTTTGATCTACAGTCAAAAACATATAATTGACAGTCTCATGGGCTTTACTCTTTTCCTGCCTTTCAAGACGATAATATAAATTGCGCTTATCACACATGAAACCAGAGATAAACGGACATTCTCCATCTGTTGAAAATACCATACATACATTGCAAAATATTTTTTCAACTCAGAAGAATAACACAGCCACTTCATAACACCAGTGGGTTGAGTAGATGTTGGTTAATAAACATTACCTTTCCAGTTAATGACGTTGTTTGTTGTGGAGCAATGAATTTCGCTAGTGATTCATGTTATTCATCATCTAGCTCTTGATTCTTCTCTATCTCTTTCTCCTGTGATCATTTTTTTTCAGGTGATTTCTCTTTCTCTTGGGAAGCCTCTTTTCCTTGTGACACTTCTTTTTGTATTGATTTATCTTTCTCTTTTGAAGCCTCTTTGAATTGTGACACTTCCTTTACTGGTGGTACCTCTTTTTCTTGTGTTTCAACACTTGGGGCAGCAAAAGCAAGATCAAATGTTCCTTCAGATGTATTTGAAGAAGGCTTGAATGCTAACTTAATCTGCTTTGAATCCCTATTAGCCAGCTCCAGGTTTTTTTTCCTTTTATCTCTTTTTTTTCTGCTCTGGGTTTTTGTTTATTCCGATCCATCATGTGGCAATCACAGTAATAAAAAATAATGTATTGTATTAGTCAATATTTAGGCCTATAATAACGAACTTTAGAAAAAACGATTGCTGATATTCAGCAGCAGTTTCGGCCATCTTACTTCAGAAAGCTATAGAAGCCTTATGATATGGGATTTGAATCAATGTTCAGTTAGGACTATCAACCATTAGACCTTACTATACAGGCCTATTATTATATTATCAATTCATTTTGTATATAGGCTGCGAAAATAATATTTTGAAATTAAAATTTTCAATTTAATATAGGCCTTTAGAACTTTTTATATAAAACAGACGTTTTACTTTTCAGTGGGCAATACAATATCTAGTTTCTCAGCTCTGCAAAGCCGTTTTCCCTGCGTTGTTCACGAGTTCTGTCGAAAGATGGCCCAGAAAGGCTCAAAAAAAGCCTACTTGCCTCTGTAATGTGGCTAAGTGCAGTACCTGCCAGAACATGAACACTTCTAGTACTTTTTGCAAGAGGGGCACAGTCCAACCAACCCCCATAAGCCAAATATTATTGCGAGATGATTCATTTCTGTAATACAGTGTAGTTTATCGAGGTTAACAGAAATTACAATTCGTAAACACAAAGCCAACTGATCCACAACACCAACATCTTGTGTTGAATCTATTTCCATTCTATATGAATGATTACTTTTTCTTTTGTTCTAAATTGAATACCGAAAATCGTGACATCCCTCTACAGCCCACCGAATTTGTTGACCGATTGTTGACTAGGTGTTAATATAATGTATTCATCCCTTTTCATAGACTTCTGAACTTTTTAGTCCCTATAATTCATTAATACAAAACTTTTATTAGTAGAATGCTAACAAATTGCGCATAAACAAACAAACTAAATAAAATACAACCTGATAAGATTCCCTGCTTTTCCTAGTTCCTTCATCAGGTTCTGCCATGTTTGAAACACCATCTGTTTCTTATCTTCATCAAGACACGAAGTCGGATCGGGGTCGACTGATTGTCTTCGGCTTTGGGTTGCAAAAACTGTAAAACCATTCGAAAATTTTTCATAATCGATTCTGCCATCATCGTCGTGGTCTAGGTCATGGAATATAGCGTCAGCATCTTGAACACTAATTCCAAATTTAGCACACAAGTTTCGCAATTCATCCTGGCTTAAGTAACCTGTCCCTCTAGTGTCGTAAGTTTTAAACAAGTCTTCTAATTCAGCAGAAGCCATCTTGGATTATATAAATCAAACACAGACTGTAAAGTGATACATACTCACGTAAATGAAGTTTGCGTTCTAAGTTAGCGAACTGATGTGTTTCGTCTTCAGAGAAGAACAAGACTAAAATTCAGAAAATAAAACATAAAACAATTTTATAATTGATTTTAAGGATTCAGAGCAAAATGTGTTATCATGATAGAACATATTCATAACTTTCGCCCAACAATAATACTTAATATAAAATATACACTATTCGTACAGTTGTTTGATATTTTGATACAATTGCAATGGAAACAACAATATTTGTCTGGTGTTATGTTCCTGATAATAAAAAATAGTTTTCTTGTTAGCTTCATAGAGTTAAACATGTTATTATCTCTTAATTTTTTGGCCCCTCAGTGGCACGGCGGTATGTCTGCGGACTTATACTTCTAGAAACCGGGTATCGATATCCATTATGTAGCTTTGTGCTTAATAGTAAACAACTGAATTTTTGACACACTAGAATGAAAAACAAAATAATTCAGCTTTATGTTACTGGTCTACGAAAGTAATTAAGCACTATTTTCAGAATATTCACTAGTTTTGGACCCATTTTATTCCCTAGTTAAAACTTATAACCAGTGTTATTTTTGGAAACAAAAAGAAATGCAGTTCAAAAATTTAGCGTTATTTGTACCTCAGCAAAATTGAGCTAGGAAATATGAGAAATGTTGTAAGTACACCCTATGGCATATGAGGTGAAGATCAAGCTGAAAACGAATTTGGAAGCATCTGATATAACAACAAACACATTTGTAGTGATGTTGTTGTTTTCAGCAACAAAACAATTTTTTGTTGAAAAACGAAGTGGATCTGGGCTCATCAAAAAATAGTCCCGTTTATAACTTTATTAGGTATTCATACCCCTAAATATTCATACTAAAGTAGGTGAAGAATATAGGGACTTTGTATAGGGGATTGTTTGTAGAATTTCGCGCAAAGCTATTCGAATGATATCTGTGCTAGCAATCCATAATTTTGGAACGACAGACTAAAGAGAAGGCAACACCATCCATCGCCAACTCTTATGCTACTCTTTACCAACGAAGAGAAGGATTAACCACCACATTATAACGCCCCCACGGCTATGGAAAGTAGTATATTCGAATCTGCGTCACGCAAATTGCGAGTCGAGCGCTCTAATCACCAAGCCATACAATGCCCGTGTATAATGGAAAAAGAATGAAAATAAATATATTGGCCTAAAAGTCGAAATATGAAGAATAATGTGGTCTGTCAGGGCCTAAAGCCTACAAATTTAGGCCAGTACTTCAGTTTATGCTATTACTCCTTCAGTGTGATCCTCCCCCAAATACAAAAACTGGCACTTTCAATCTGATATTTCATTAGGACGAAAAACCAAACCTTCAATTACTCTAATATATTAAAACATTTATTTGTTTGTATGTTGTTAAGCACAAAGCTACACAATGGGCTATCTGTGCTGTGCCCACAACATGTATAATATATATATATAATTTATTCAAAAATACATTAATTGTAAAAATAATTAGGTTCAGCCGCTCGACACTCAGGCAGAATGATTTACTTGACACCTTATTAAAAGACATTGTCTATAACGTAATAGATCTATATAACTGTGGTTCTCAACCAGTAGGTCAGAAACTTACAACGAACAGTGAGAACTCCGAAGAGGCTTCCACAATGGTTGAGTAAGTTATATTAAACTGATTCTCATCATGCAAATGAGCAAGTCACGTGACAAACACAGCCGATATGAAGTCGCGAGCAAACGGAATGTATCAGAACTGCATTTTGTTGTTATTTGGTGATTCTTAGGTAGAGTGATGTTTCCTAAAAGTGATTGCCTTTCCGAAACAAAATATAGATACACACAGATAATAAAAATGTGTTCAGTTCAGGAATTTAGAACGTCCACCATAGAAGTATCACTTTTACGTAATGCCATTTAAAGAAAATGGAATATGAATCATCTGAAAGCACCAGAACCATCCATAAGATACCTGCAGCTAGTCGAACCCTAGCCACAGTGCAACATCTTTTAACAAGTGAGAATCCATGAACACATGTGGCTAAAAGCCATCTATGATCCCAGGCAACAGTATCCAACATAATCAAGAAGAATCCCAGAGTGAAAAAAGAGGTCAACAGGGTATAGGTTCATCAAGATACGGTTTCCTGTCCAACCATCACATACCTCAAACAGATGAAAAATGAACACAGGTATTCATTCTATTCCATGCAAAGACATGCATGTCAAGCTGTCGGAGACAATACCTATGAATTTCTGTATGATCAATTGAGAACTGTCATTCTCGTACACTAGATGTATTATTAAAACAAACAGGGAGGAGAGTGGTGTTTCGGACATGACAGCCTTTTGCAATGGAAGCTACACTGCTTAGCCGTAGGATAGAATATAACCTAACTTGGAAACATGAACTGTAACAACGTGGCGAGGCTTCAAAATCGTTTTAATATAAAATACTCAACCTCTGTACAGTTTCACCCCCTCTTGAATTTATAATAATGAAAATATGTTAATGTAAAACAGTTATGACTAGTTAGCTTTATTTCAGGGTTACTGTAAAACAGTCATGATTTATCTATACTTCAGGCATTACTGTAAAACAGTTATGACTTGTTAGTTATATTTCAGGGTTACTGTAAAACAGTCATGATTTGTTTGCTATACTTTAGGCATTACTGCAAAACAGTTATGACTTGTTAGCTATATTTCAGGCATTACTGCAAAACATTTATGACTTGTTAGCTATATTTCAGGCATTACTGTAAAAGTCATGACATGTTAGTTATACTTCAGGGTTACTGTAAAACAGTGGTTATTTGTAAGTTATACTTCAGGTGCTACTGTAAATCAGTAGCCCTCTTCTGATGAAGCCACACAGATACCTAAGAAGAAAACCTACTATCTGGAGTCTGCAAAAGTCGTATGTTTTACTCCTATAAAGTTTACAGTTCTCCAGTGATTATTATATTTACTAGAATCCAAAACGTGCATTTTTTTAAAGGTAATTTGAACTTTTGTATAAAAGCGGCATAATAAGAAACGTTGAAACTCACAACAATAGTTTTGTTAGACAATATAGCGTCACCTCGGCCAGATACATACCTTTATTGATTCGGTATCGTCTGTAGTTTCAATAATAAGTTATCACTTCTTGATGATAAAGCCACTTCTTTCAACCATAGAATAAGTCTTGATATGATATGTGATTGACAAGCATCCGCATTCCCAGTTTACCAAGCGGATATAAAACTCTGTACACGTAACGAACATAAGTGGTCTTTCTTATTATCATTCCGTTTGATTAAGCCTATCGTTCGGTAGCGATGCATTTGTTAACGTTACACAGATGATTCGTTATTGCTTAACCACGAACTGCTTTACATTTGGTAGTATCGAACACGTGCAGTTTTAAGAAACCAGTACTGATGATCTAACTGTTATTGTCCTTACAACAGCTTCAATGTTCATCCAAGTGACTAAACAAGTTATTCCAAAGAATTTTGATCAAAACTGGCGAATATATTCTTACATCCAAAATGGAATAGTTCTAAAAAAAACAAGCTAACTCAACCACTAAGTAACTTATGATATCGCTGGACCCGCTAGTGACTTTAAAACTGATAACATGCAAAAAGAAAGCATCTATATAAACACTAGTTTATTTCTCTGACGCACAAACTCAGGATTCAGGTAGTGGTATTGCGCGTGTGTATTATGAATTGAAACACCTGTTGAAAAACTCTCGTTACCAAAACTCTCGTGGAGCAACAATAGTGGTGTTTTATGTGACAAATATTTATTCATACCACTATATTTATCTAACCTGAATATGTATGAACAACGGAAACATAACAGACTGTTGATTTTTTTTAGAAGTTCATAGAATTTTGTTCCAAGTTTTAATGTCGTATCTCAAACATTCTGCAATAATGACGCATTTCTGCACGAGGAGTTAAGAGCTTCTTGCCAATAATGCTTAGATTGTTACGTCAAGTGACAGTTTCTTTACTGTTGTTTTTAAATTCGTGGAAGGTTCGAGAACTATCTACGCTAGCTGACCATAATTTTGAAGTGATAGCCTAGAGGTAAGACAGCTCCTCAACATCACCCATCGCCAACCCTTTACCAACGAATAGAGGAATTGATCATCCCATTATAACGCCCCCATGGCGCAAAGAGCGAGCTTGTTCGGTAATGGGTTTCGGTCCCGCGACCCGCATTTTGCGAGTCGAACGCTCTTATTACCAGGTCTGTCAAATATATTCTATATTCTTGTTTGCATTTTTTTTTGGCACTGAAATCCCTATATGATTTTACATTTACAAAATGTTTTTTATTACTTGTATTCTGTATGCAGTTTCATGAGATTTACAATTCCCAGTTATTATTACACGTGTAACTGACACTCCCTATTTTTATCTTAGAAAATTGCATGATAAAGATACATAATACACTAAAATAGTTACCATTCTTACTTTATCGTGCGCGAATTTATCAAACGTTTTATTCCTTAATATATATGTGACCCAGTGGCTAAGTGGTAAGCCTGTAGGCCTAAGACGCCAAAAATCTGGTTTTAATACCCGTGGTAGGCAGAACATAGATAACCCATTGTGTAGTTTTGCGCTTAAGACCAACCACAAAGCCTTAATATTTAAATTGGAGCTGATTAAGTTATGATTAGTTTAAAAAAATAATAATATGAGGTAACGTTAATTCATGAAAAAATAAATAAATAAACACGTGACTTTAATCTTTTCTCTGGGACTACACTGGGAGCCAGATTAGTGGTAAAACAAATCTGGGGCGCGATGTTATATCACTGCAGATTGGAGGAATGGTATCCTAATAAATCAACAAATAAGCATGTTAAATGAAACTAAAGGCGACTGTTATAAAAACGAAAATAAATATTAACATAAAGTTAAAAGAATATTACCAAATGTATCAACAACAAAAATTTGTACACATATCCTTTTCTATTTCAGATAAAGATATTCTTAAACAAAAGTAAATATTCAATCATTACATTAACTACACCTTTAGTAGATGTATCTTTCATGGTCTTTGTGTGATATAGATGTACCTCAATCGCTACTGTATCCCTGTCGGCCTGATAAGCTCCAGTATTTGGCTAAGGGTCTCGGTCAGCACTAGATATAGTGTAGTTTGGTTGACATATTGCTATACATTCTGTCACGTTCTTACAGTTTAATTTTTTCATTTGGATGCTCGTCTAAATCTTCCCTCTCTTACCATCGAGCTATTCGGAATGGATAATTAATATCAAGATCTATTTAAAGCGAGCATCTTGTCACTGTGTCTGATTCAAAATTTCCCCGCTTTCTAAATATGCATCCAAATTGGCTTTTCCGAAAATTAAGAATTCTAGAAACAGAGTTGTGATAATATTGCAAGAATACCAACTTACATTACAATGATCCCCCGTGAGCCAGCGGTAAATTTAAGGATTTATAATGTAAAAATCCGGAGCGCAGATATCTTACTGTAGCTTTGCACTAATAAAATAACAATACAATGTTTACTCTGATTTTCAGTGCAAATAAATTTTGGATTCTCGTGAAAATCAATTTTGTGTGCATTTCTTTTAGTTATATCCAAAAATGAGCAAAGAGTAACGTGCCAGTTGCTTCTTTTTTTCTCTCTCTCCTTTTTTGAGTATTATATCTTTAAATCTTAACTATTTGCCATTTGTAAGGCCCTATAAAATTTAAATATGGTTAAAAGACTATTTCATATTTTAATATAATAATATTATATATTTTTAAATCATCAATTACTTCCTTCTTTGTACCTAAAAGGTTGTCCGAGTGTTTTAATTTACTTTTGAATTGAAGTCTTAAAATTTCACATTAATGTAGGAGTTGGTTTCCCAAGATATCGCTCTACGTATCTTACAATTTATCAACGTAAAGTTACGGCCTAGTAAATACACAATCAATTCTATATTTGGACACAGATCAATAAAACAACAAAACAGTATAAAGAATATTTGGCAATATTACAAAAGTAATATTGTGATTTCTGCCCAGTGCTCTGAATGTCAAAGTGAAGAAATTCAACCAAGCGCCGGTAAACGGCGGGAGTAACTATGACTCTCTTAAGAGAATGGAGTTCTATAACTCTCTTAATGGGAGGAGACCCAAACTATCCTAGGATGGGGCGGAACCGACCATATGAGCCATAAACATTGCCCACACCATCCTCTGGAGGAACCTCCTCGTGGTACGGCTGGATACAGGCAAGTCCTGTAACCAAAACCTCCTACCCGTGAAGGAGAACACTAAAAACCCATGTAGTGGCCTCGCCAACCACTATATGTCCAACGGCAGGAGAAGCTATCTCCCAGATGGGAAGGAAAACCCTAAACCGTGATGGGAACTTACCGGCCCCATCAGCTACTGGGTACCCGGTAGGGGCTTGCAACCCTACCCTGTACTTTGC